TGATGCCGCAAAATATCTTAAATCGTGACGATTTTTTATACTGACATGCTTGCGTGATATCTATTCATCCATTAATATGATGTGTGGGTATAGTCTGAATGATGTCAATCATAAATAAGTATGCTATATTACTGATATGTACTTATAAGGACTGAATGATGTATATGCTACATACGACAATGATTGGCTTTTGCATTTTTGAGGATCTATTTTTGATTTTTTTGCATTTCTTTCTTTTTTTGCATAGCAAAACCCCGTCTATATGCGTAATTACAATATGATGTATAAGCATCACCAGGACTTGAAAATAATGCATTATCCCAGTAATTGACGTCTGGAGAAGTGAATGATACTCAACTTTGTAAATTATGATGCACATAGTTTTATGAATTGGTGTATATAGTATAACATTATGATGTTAATTCAGCTAAGCATTGTGTACGTAACTATTAATTCAACCTTTCAACTATGTTGTCATACTATCACTAGTATGATGTATTAAGACAAAGTAAACATAATACAAATTATCTTTGATGTTCACAAACTCTCAATATGATGTCATATTTTTTAAATAGTTAAATAATTATTATAATAAGTAAGTTTGACTTCTCCATTTCCTAAAATTCAAAATCTACACATAAATCAAAAGTAACCTCAATTAATGGATTTTTTTTTAGAAAATAATATTCACATTAATCGTTAGCTTTTTAGGTAATATTTTACCTATAAAAACTTAATTAAATCTAAAATCGATTCAAGAATTAATTTCGATCATTTTTTCCCCACATCTATGCGCATAATTGTTGAATTTGACAAATAATGCAGAATTAAAGCTTCGTAACATACTATTGAATATCTGTATTTTTTGTTTTTGTAGATTTTGGTTATAATTCAATACCACTTAACAAGACCACAACAGTACTAGATAACTAATAAAAGTATGATGTATGTATACATATAATTGATGTTGAATGAATACAAATATGATGTAAGATAAATCCGCCATACGTCACTTTCGCGATATATGAGACAAAAAAAACAAAAATTATTGCGTTTGAGACTTTCTTGAGTTTCATCTTCAACCACAGGGTGTCAGCGTTCACAGGAATGCACATGATTTTTATTCATCTTCTTTCAAGTTATAAGTTCATTGGTTTATCTTCTCGGATCAATCAACGTCGGCGGAAAGCATATAATTTTTTTTTTTTTTTTTTTAATTTTTGTTCTTTTATGGTGTTAGAATATTTAAGTGAGTTCACAGTAACAAAGAAATATTACACTTTTATATATATATATATATATATATCTCCAGGTATGTCTAATGACATAATCCGCCTTAAAATTCCCAGGGTAAAGTATCAATTCATTTTTATGGATTCAATGTTATATATATATTTTATTTTCCCCAATACAACCGAATAAAGAAAAAAGAAAAAAATAAACAAAGATTAAATATTTAAAGAAAAATTCAACAAAACAACTTAAAATCAATATATCACTACAAAAAAATAATATATTTGTAACGGAATTCCGTCCCTAAAGTTCACGTAGCTAACGTAATTCCATTCCTAATTCTGTCTCTAATGTCATTAGTAACGAAAAAAGTAGATTTAGAGACAAAAATATTTTGTTACAATGATTTTTTCTTGTAGCGTATGTTTTACTAAAACAAAAATAAATAAATAAAAGAATAGAAGTGCAAATCAATAAAGCTACAAAAAAAAAAAAGTTACTTTTAGGCTAAAAAATAAAATATTAAAGATATAGACAAAATAAATGCAAAATACATAATTTTGTTATTTTTATAATAAAAAAAATACTTCTATTTTGGGGGCTGGAGTCGTCTGCCTCGCCTAGCCCCCCTCCCTACTTCATTTGTCCCGGGGCAAGCATATTCATGACTCCACGTACTGAAGCAATTTATCATTCAATGGTTACAAGAAAACAAAAATGTAATGCATTTGTTTTGGTTAGATGTAATTTGCATGATCATCGGATGATCAATTTATCTGTTTGAAGGACAAAGTTAATTCGAAAGATCATCATACGATTCGACTCATTAGTCAATAAAATGGAAGATTTGAATAATTTTAAATATGATGATTTGATCGTAAATATTAAGTTATTCTTGTATTATTTGATGAAATATATTTTGGATTAAGATATATAATTGGACAATTAATGAAAGTTTTGAAGTTTTTATGAGATACTAACGGATGGAATTTTGAAGAATAGTTGATAAAAATTTGAAGGGGATCTAATGCTATATACATCACCACTCGGAGGAATTCGAGATTGTAGCTGAATTTTGTTATTACTTTCTTATTATAAATATTTTTATTTTTGACAAAAATGATATGTATACATTCATATTTTCTGGGGTTTTCATACCCAAAGTCTATCATATGGATTCAAAAAAACATAAATATATATATTGTCAATTTTCCTAAATGTGGAAAAGGGCGCAGAGATTCCTAAATCGAGCAAAAACTTGAGTTGAATAAAAGTACAAGAAACAATGCAAATTACATATTTGGACAAAATAATATTTTTGTACGGTGGTCAACAAGGCATACCCATATACACGCACAAACATTCAACGGTATAATCGACTTATCAGGTAGTCATTCGTATAAAAGAAAATATATATATATTGTTACAAAAATTCCAGGAAATCAAAAAGAGGTAAATAAGGATATAAGAATACAAGAATTTGGTAACCCAGTTTGATCAGAATGATTTACGTCTGGGGCGCTGCCAAACCAGAAATTTTACTATAAAGTACGCAGACACATGTTAAAGTGAGAATACATGGATATTTATAGGCTAAACCTATGCAATTAACATCCAAATCATATCTCTAAAATCTAGAATATAATATCTAAATTTTATCTAAATCATATCTCTAGATTTTAGGATATAATCAGACTTCATATCCCAACAGTCTCCCACTTGAAGATTAATTTCATCTTTCACTTCAACATTTTACTTCATCGGTAACAACAACGCCAAGCCTTCTTCTTCACTCGTCGAGGTCACTTGAGGTTGAACACAACCTCAATTCATCTAAGGTCACCACCTTATACTGTCTTGCAGGATTGCTAATAAATCGGCTTACTATTCCCATTGCACGTGCTTTCCACCTCCTAAAGGTATCAAAAGCATCATATTTACACTTAAGGAAATATACCCATACATCCTTTGTAACATCGTCAATGACCGCGGTGTAGTACTGTAAGCCTCCAAGGGTCAATACAAAAGCTGGTCCCCGCAGGTCCGTATGAACCAACTCCAATTTTTCCTTTTCCAAGTCTCTCCCACTCTTTGAGAACGCCACATTTCGCTGCTTCCCAAAGATACAGTCCTCGCATACTTCAATATCGACGGACTTGAGACCTGACAATCTTCCATTTGAAATGAGTTCCCTTATCCCCTTCTCGCTCATGTGTACGAGACAAGAATGCCATAAATTTGTGTCATTATTTATGGCCACGGAACTAATTCCGTCTTGCATGATTTTCGTCATGCAGAGAGTTCCATATCTTCTCCCTTGGGCCACCACAATGGATCGTAGGTTACCTTCCACGACTTAGTTTAAAAACTGTCGAGTAACCTGCCTCATCCAATTGTTCAACAAAAATCAAATTCCGTTTCAGACCCAGGACATGGCTCACGTCATTCAGTCTCTACTTCCCACCATTCGGTGTTTTGATTCGAATCATTCATTTACCTGCAATTTTCAGTGTCTCATCATCTGCAAGATAAACAACACCAAAATTACCTGCGGTATAGGATTCCATGATTCCCGAATCACTGCATGAGTGGAATGACACTCCTGAGACCAAAATCCATGACTCAATTGGACTGCTGACGCTCAAAATCAATGCACCGGATATCTCCTCCATTGCGTTTGCCGACCCTGATCCTTTTCCAGCGCCCTGCACTGTCGTTTCAAGTGCCCCTTACAGTCCAACATCCCATTTGACTTGCATCTTCCTTGTCCTTGTTCTTCGGCTTCAACTTTGACCATTCTTGATCTTCACCCTTTCCTTTTGCCTCAAATCTAAATTCAGTCGAGACATTCTCCCAAAGGGTTAGTCGAACCGCACTCATCGTCTTCCTATCGATCTTCTTGTATTAAGCTTCATCCATGTCTTCGGGTTTCTCCTTCAATGCCGCCTCTATATCTTTACCATACATGTAAGCTTCTATATGCATATTTCAGAAACTGAAGTTTATACCATCGAATACCTTGATAGCATGACGATCACCCATCTTGACTTCCACAAACAAACCCAAGGCTCACTTGATATGAGAGCACATTGGATATCTCATCCGCTGCATTTGCCGAAACCCTTATTCTTCCTTGCCCACCTTGCAACGCCTATCACAAAGGGACTCGTTGCCTAAGCTACCACAACTGTCGGGACCAACCCAACCCCGCCAGGAGACTTTCGACACAAGGCACCTCCACAGGTCACGAGGGATTCCTACAGCTACAATCAATATTCGATGCCTCCCAGTCCACCCTACCAACGAACCAGACTCTGATACCACTTGTTACAAAAATTTTCAGGAAATCAAGAAGAGGTAAACAAGAATACAAGAATTTGACAACCCAGTTCGATCCGAATGATCTACGTATGGGGGCGCTGCCAAGCCAGGAATTTTACTATAAAGTACGCAGACACATGTTAAAGTGAGAATACATGGATATTTATAAGCTAAGCCTATGCAATTAACATCCAAATCATATCTCTAAAAATTTATGATTTAATATCTAAATCATATCTAAATCATATCCCTAAATTTTATGATATAATCACGCTTCACATCCCAACATATATATATATATATATATAAGTGACTAGATATATAGACTGGGAACTGAAAGTATGAACAAACAAAGGCATACTGAGTAGTGAGTATGTAGTGAATAATATGGATATATCTATCTATCATTCATGGCATCTAATTTTGCCAATAAGTACTTACTGTCAGGTCCTTAAAGTTTTTGTCAATCTGCTTTTATATTTTTTAGTTTAATTACATAGGGTGGAAGTCCATTGAAGTTCGTAGCTAGGCCTTGTTTACTCCAAGTGATCATTTCTTAATAACCATATATTACAATAACAAGACCATTATTACATATATATATATATATATATATATATATAAGGGCTAGAAATTAGAAGGAGCTGAGAAGAGGCTGCAGAAACTAATTAATAATTGAGTGACCCACATCTCTTCCTGACCTGTCCACTTGTGTTTTCAGTAATGACACCAACCTTCCCAAGCTTGAGCATGGACGATGCAAAATCATTGGTAAACAGAAGCGCATCTCCGCTGTAGGCTTTAACCAATGCTGCAGTGTCCGGGTGGAGAGCCAGAGCCTGGTCGGATTCTAGCACTCCCATGTTGCTCACCAGGTTCTTGTAATACGAGTTGTCGAATTTGTTGGTGCTTTGGTTATCAAGAGGGGCCAGCTGATTGTTCGATTTATCCACATTCGGGCATGACCTCTGCAAGCTCGATAATGTGGATGAGTCGAGGGAAGGGTCCGGCTTGCCCGACCCTCGGAAGTTAAAGAGCCTGTTCTTGAACGTGAAGCATTGAGCAAAACCTATGGTGTGACCCCCTGTAATCGTGAAAAGATTTCAGAGTTGGGATTTGAATAATAAAAATTTTGAATTGGAATAGCTGTATTGTATGATGAGATGTTTTGAATGTAAAAATTGATTTTTTAGAATAATATATAAAATAAAAAATAGGTATTTGATATGATATTTTTGGGAGAAAATTTTTGGATGAATAGTAAATTTTTGGCAAAATCCTTCAAACAAACACATACAAAGTACAAGATTATCATCAAGATCCATCCAATATATTTATGTGCCTTCTATTTTGTTATTTCATATGGCATAACAACAGTTTCACAATGAAAAAAAAAAAAAAAAAAACAAAAAGCAAAAAAAGTGGCCCAAAGGCATTGGGGTGAAGTTTTGAAACAATAATTCAATAGAAATTTTTTAATTTGTTCTTTTTTTATTTCAAGTTGAAATCAATATATATTCATTCATCTTACACAATTTTTAATAAAAAAATACATTATTTTTCTTTAGAAAACATTACATCAAAATACTATTTAAATAAAACTATAAGTTCATACTCTATTTCAAATAAATTTTAAATGACAACTTTTTACACGATTTTCAATATATATATATATATATTATCCTCGTACAAAAGTTAATATTGAACGTAAAAATATTACTTTCTATATTACCAACACAATTAATTAATATTCCTCGTATGTCACATAAAAAAAATTTTCAAATCAAAATGTATTTCTTTACCCCAAAGTCTAAATTTCTATTATTTACATATGTTTTGGAATCATTTTCATTTTTTTTTTCTTTTTTAATAATTTAGAAATAGTAAGTGTTACATTTGTAGAATTTGAGTTTATAGAGTTTGTATCGCACCTATGTAAATAAATATTAAATATTATGTTTTAAACATATTGTAAAATATTTATCTAATTTTTTAAATATGGAGTATGTGATATTTTGGTAAAGGAGAAAAATGTCATAAATGCAAAAATAAAGAGTTATTTTAGTATTTCAAATAAAAATCAGTACTATTTTATATACGCGGTCTCCAATAAAAATATACTGTTCATTTAATAAAATATTATATCAAAATACTATTTACATAAAAATTTAAATTAATTTTCTATTTCAAATCAATTTCAAATCACAGCAATAGTTAGAGATGATTATAAATAAAAAGCGTCTTATATTTAAAAGTAACAGAAAATAAATAAACAAGTAAATAAAATTTACAACCACACCAATGCATAAAATCTTTTAAGTTCTATATGTGTTTGAAAATTTATTGTTGAATATACTTAATTTATACATGGAAAATACCAAAGTAATATTTACTAGAATTATGCAAATGTAAGATACTTTTAATTGAGCTTTCAAAGATATAACAATGGAGGCGATGTTTGTTCACTTTGTTCACATAGTAATTTTAGGTGGAACGATTTTTTATAAATATTATTAACAAATATTATATACTTATATTAACACAATATATATAATATATATTTTAACCACTCGCAAAAAATTAACAATTTAACAGAAAATATTACTCATTCCATCCAAGAATAAACTTCATATTTTTCTATTTTAGTCTCAAAACTTCTTATTTTTTTTTAGAAATAGTAACTATCAACTAAATATAAAAATACCTCTGCTTTTTATTTTTCACATTATTTTTACTTTAATATAAAAGACAAAATACACATTACACTATTTTATTACATTGCGTATCTGTAAAATATTAATTTATTTTACTCCGCGTGCAAAAGTCAAATGAGAAACTTACCATACAACGAAGATAATATTTTTTATATTATCAATACAATTCTGCATACCTAACATAAAATATACATACACCTAAAATGTTTATTTAGCCATTTATAATATTTGTTGTTCTTGTTGTGAAGTATGAAAATTCATATTGTATTATAGAGAATGATGTTTATTAAATCTATTATTACTATTTTTGTTTATTGTTACATGTATATATGTTATATTTTGATTTTCTGAAAAATCCGTAGAGATAAAAACACTAAGTAAACACACTCTATATATATATTCACGTGATAGACAAAGGTGCAAATAATAAGAGTATACTCGACCCAAAGTGATGGACATACCGGAGAGAACCACGACGTCCTTCAAATCAAGACCTTTGGCCAAAAATTTGGCCGTAATGTTTGAAAGAGGCTCGAACGGTGAAGGCAATTGCTCGTTTGCTGATTTCTCACTTGCACTTAAACCATCAAGCCGCCCTAAAGGGACCGGCCAAAACGGACCACCCAACTATAATATATATATATATATAGACAGGACATCGGTCGATTACATGCATGTTTATTGAGTTCATTGTATAATTAAGAAATCTTTATGTATGTATGTGTTGCTGAATACTATTAATTACCAATGCAACAGCTTCTCTTGCTGCAAGAGCCAACACGTCGACACATGATACCGTAAGGGGGCAGTATTTTTCTAAATCTGCCTTAATAGTGTCGATGACTTCGAATCCTCGCACCGAGTTGCGATTTGGGAGGGCATTCTTTTCTCCTTTCATGGTTCTTGTGTCATCAAGAAGGATAGAACCTTCACATCCCTATATATATATATCATAAATATATAATATAGCATCGATCTTACAATTGAACTAATTTTGAATACACAACAGCAAATTAAAGTAATTAAATTAAGGGCATTGTTTGTCTACCTAAGTACACCCTCCGTCCACTTCTAAAGTTGATCTTTGTTTTTTGTGTGTTAATATATGAATATTAATTATTATATCAAAACATTGTACAAATAAAAAAAAATACTTTGTCTTATAATACTACTAGAATGACCTTATACAAAAAATTATACAAATACATGAATATTTTTAATATTAATTAAAATAACGAAAAATGTAAATATAAACTTATCAAGTGGACGGGGAAAGTATTACATATTTGGTAAAGTAAAAAAAAAAATTAATATTTAACTATTATTTTTCATTCAACATGTATTTATAACAAATTCTACTAATTTTATTATATTATTTTTTTATTCCTTTTAATGACTAACTAAATTTGTAAAAATATTCCCAACCATCTTTTTACATTTTTTTTTAACGCTTTTAATAATTTTTTTTTTTTTTTCCTAGTCTGACCCAAAAGAGCTATTTTTTACTCCATGGAAGAATATGTCTTATCAAAAAGTATAAAGTATCTAAAAAATGTGCAATATGAAAGCAAAGAATACGTTAATTATAGATGCAATTAGAGAGGTGAGGTATCAAAGTAGAAGAAGCATTAATGAATTAATTACATCGACGAAGCAGTCATGGAAGTGAAGGCGGAGGAGAGAAGCCGCAATTCTGGTGTCATTTTTCAGCGCTGCCCAAACGCCCCAACGGACTATCATCCTCAAGTTAGGACAAGATTTGTCATAGAAACTGTAGCTAAGTTTTCCATCTGAATCTGATTTTCCATAGTAAGAAGCATCCGGGTAAGAATTGATCGTCCACGTCACTGACCAAAGGAAAACCAAAGGGATCAACGTAATCAGACCCATGTTTGTAAATCTGTAAATTACTCACTCTAAAGTCCACAACACAATATATATATAGATAGCAATTAGAGATGAAGGGTTATTCAATTCAGTTTGCAGACAATGATGACAATGGTGGAGTCGAAGAGTGGCATTATACATTTTATATATTTTCCCACTACTAATACATTCACTTTGGACTAATGGCTGTCTATGAAGCAAACCACCACATCCATACATTATATGGATAATATAAACAAGTTTTTGTATGTTATAAATTGATGCACGTGAGTCGTCTTCAGACAATTTTCAAACTCTAATATAAGGTGTTAAGAGTAAGACCCAAAAAGAGAAACATAATTAAAGCCAATTATATTGCAAGTAGTAGCATTTTGACAATTGATATCATTACAGTGGAAATGGTTGTTGTGGAAGAACCATGGACGATGTTAGTCAAAAGAATATCGACCCAAGATTCGCCTTGCAGGAGCACAAGAGTATCACGGCACACTTCTTCACAAGTAAATGCATTATTTTCTCCCACTAAAAAATATAAATTTCAGAACCGTCTCGTGCTATTTTGGGGTCTGAGTAAAAATAAAAAATAGGCTCAATTAAATTAAAATATATTCTTTCCCTCCTTCTAAATTATAGGAGTCTTATAAAGTTCCGTAGTAGATTAACCAAATCCAAAATAAAATGTAGCAATAATAAAAATAGAGTTACCGCTGCTACTAAAACTTCTGCCCAAGCAAATTAGGTCTTCAAAGGGCATACCTTATTCCTTATTCTGCTGAAACAGAGTTGTCGTTGCTGCTGTAACGACACATTTGGAGAAATACACACTCATAGAGGCATACCTTATTCCTTCGGGTGGTGTTAGGAGTAGATGGAGACAAAAAACTACCTCTCCTTAAACATATATAAATAAGATTTACACTATGAACAAGCTAATACAATCTTTCTTATACAAATGCCGCTAATTCTCTTCAAAAACTCAAACTTTACAAATGCTACTAATCCCTTAAAAAAACTCAAGGAAGACCTCATACCACTTCTATTATACCCATTATATTTATGTAATTACCAACAAAATAATTTAAATTATAATGTTATCCAAAAATCACCAAATCGAATTTCAAGCAGTCGATGGGGAAACCTAGGTTTTAAATCCGAAGACCTATCACTACAAAAAAATAATATATTTGTAACAGAATTCCGTCCCTAAAGTTCACATAGCTAACGTAATTCAATTCCTAATTCCGTCTCTAATGTCATTAGTAACGGAAAAAGTAGATTTAGAGACAAAAAAAAAAAAAAAAATTGTTATAAAAATAATTTTTTCTTGTACACTACAAAAAAATAATATATTTGTAACAGAATTCCGTCTCTAAAGTTCACCTAGCTAACGTAATTTCATTACTAATTCCGTCTCTAATGTTATTAGTAACGGAAAAAATAGATTTAAAGACAAAAAAGTTTTGTTACAAAAATGATTTTTTTTTGTAGTAGTAGTGTATCTTGCAAAAAATTAATTGAACAAATAAATATCAACTAAATGAGCATTATACTATAAAAAAATCTCAAACACACAAACACGTTAGGTCAACCAATTATTTTAACTTACCCATAGATTTAGTGCTCTAATACGTAGCGCGAATGAGGGCCTTTGAACCTAGGCGGTGAAGGTTGTCAACTTACGGTGGTTTCTGGGCTACTTTCCCAGCGACTGCAGAGCAAGGGTGGAGGCGATGGTGGAGAATAGGTGGAGGCAACAACGGTCGGATCGGAGTCTGTTCTACAATTTTGAGGATGCAGAGAAACAATAGAATTTTTCTTTAAGTGTTTTGATTGTATATATGTTGTTATATGACTCGTGGAAAGCGTGTTCACACTTTTTTTTTTCTTTTATTCTTTAAAATAATTTTATATTGAATTTTTGGTAATTGTTTTTATAATTATAAAATTGACTTTCTTTTTTTTTTTTGCTACTGTATGTTTTGCATAACAAATATATATAGGATGATTTTTCGTCAAAATTGTATTTGTTACGGATAAATTATCAGAACAAAAGAAAAAAAAGGTTGACCATCCAAATTATTTTTCGTCTCGACATAACTCGTAACAAAAATCATTTTCTGTGACACAATTCTTGTTACGGAACATTAGTCCGCTACAAAATCTCAATTTTTTGGTAATGATATTTCACTGACGTGTGTGGCCACAAGTATTTCAGGAAGGCGATATAGTCTGGAAAGCGGTGTTCCCGAAAGGACCCAAAGGACTAAGGCTTGGAAATTAGTCCCCCAATTGGGAAGGGCTACATTAATGAAACTTGAAAGTGAGGAGCCTAAGACATATATCAATGAAAAATATATAAAGAGATATTCTACCTATCATCGTGGGAGCTAAGGGACATCTCAGGGTAACGGCAAGAGGAAGCAGAGTTGGAATACGTTCTCTCAACACGGTTTATCATTGTCTAGAAGTCAGTTAGGAGCCCTGATAAAAATCAGTATAGACTGGGAAAAAACCAAATCAAAGAGCGGTGCAAGGATTCAATGACAACCCGGTTGTGTTGGCTGGTCTTGGCAGCTTCATGATCAATTTTGAGTCGATGGAAACATGTGCTAAACAGACAATATAATTTTAAAATAAAAATATTTGTCCAGCAAGACAAATTATGCACAAATATTTTTTGGGAGAATTTGTGTCCCGAGAAAAAATATAATATAAGTCTAGCCTGGATAACAAAGCCCAAGAATGTACTGTGATGCAACTCCGGCTCAAAAAACACAATCTAGACTAGCTCCCAAAGCCCTGTGGCAGGGCGAGGAGAAGATCCCACTTCATGAGATCCAATAAAATTTTATCTATTTACAGTTGAAGACGTTGAAAAGTGATTTAATTTTTTAGGATTAAATTATTAATTATGCAGTTTATTTATTTGAATATGTAAGCTGTGTGTAGTTATTTCATACACAACGTTTGGATAGGCTAGTAGAAGTTGTATGCCTATATATCTCAAATATCAATGTCATGTAAATATATCATTCAATCGCATTACTTTATATTCTCTCTTTATCCAGATTACTCTAATTCCCAACATATTTGGTACCAGAGCCAAGTTAAGAGAATTCACGATGCTTCAAATGGGAATTCTTTAAGTGTAAGCCAACCTGCAATTTCTATTTTCTGTGGAGATAATTTTGAGTATTGGAGCATAAAAATGAAGACTTTATTTAAATCTCAAGATCTATGGGATATAGTAGAGAATGGATATATCAATTCAGACGAAGCGGCCAGATTGAAGGAAAATCAGAAAAAAGATTCGAAGCCATTCTTTTTCATTCAACAAGCTGTACATGAGAAAATTTTCTCAAGAATCACAGCAACGGATACTTCCAAAAAGGTATGGAAGATTTTAGAAACTGAGATCGTCAAAAGTGAAGGTCATGAAACTTCAAACTCTTCGGCATGAGTTTGAAACGCTGCACATGAAAGGAAATGAATCTGTGCAAAATTTTTTGGCAAGGGTTGTGACAATTGTTAATCAAATGAGACTATATGGAGAAGATATAAAGGATCAAACTGTCATTGAGAAATTACTCGAAGTTTACCTCAAAAGTTTGATCATGTTGTGACTGTGATTGAGGAGTCTAAGGACTTGACAAATTTCTTACTTGATGAACTGATGGGTTCATTGCAGGCCCATGAGGTGAGGATTAATCGGAATTTGGAAAAGAGTGAAGAAAAGACATTTCAAATGCAAGGGGAGTCATCTGACGCTACTCGTGCGACGCTACTTGAGTGCACTGACGTTGTTTCTTGCACCATCAGTATGCCTCCACCGAACCTTTTCCTGCATACCATTCTTTTGGTGCTCACCAACAGCCAGCGAGGTCTTTTTCCATAATCCACATGCGACCCAAATTCCGCTACGCATCTCCACACACCATCCGGGACATCCGTTGTTGCGGCTTGTGCGATTTTCGCCCGATGATCGTCCTTAATGTGGTTTTTCCCTCACAAACAAAGCTTGGCCCTTCAGCAACGTCGAGCATACTCTCATTCCTTGGGATGTCCAGTTACCTTAGGAAATGCTCTTCCTTGACGTGCTCGGCAACGTCGGACTATCCAGTTACCTTAGGACATGATCATCCTGATCATCCTTGACGTGCCCACATACATGCTCCTTGACTCGAGACATGCCCACTTTGTCGCTTCGTTCGCCACCAGCGTCAAGGTCCGCTCTGATACCATATGTAACGTGTCCGGAAGTTGACACGCCTGGCGCCTAGGCCATGCCCGCGCTGAGGCCCAGACCACCGTCCCCTGTGCGCAACATGCCCGAGATATACCCTTCAATGTGGGACAATATTCAACAATTATTTTGTTTTATTTCTATTATTCATGAAGTTTTTTTTTTAAAAAGAAAATATCAAATCAAAATATTTATTTATTTATTATATATCAATATAAATTAATTTTATATTTAAAATTATCATATTATTTTTTATTTATATAACATCAAATAATTATTTAAATTTAAAATTTTACTATTGCATTTGAAACTCAAAATATTCACTAGCTAAATTTAAAATTTTACTATTGCATTTTAAACTCAAAATATTCACTAGCTCACTTACAGCCATCTAAGCAACGAGTTTAAGCATGTGCAAGAAAAGGACATTTTGATCGGCTGTGTTTCTTTTGATGAGTTTGGAAAAAAAATAATTTAAATTTGGTATAAAAATAATATTTGATGTGATATTTTATGAAAAAAAAAATATATATTTTTTTTGAAAATGTCGAGTCCAACTAGTAAAATTTTAAAAAAATTGACTAAAAGAAGGCAACTTATCATGGATATATATATATATATATGCAAGTCAACATAGCTCAAGTGGAGTGGGAATGGCTTGAACTTTTTGTTTTCCTCAACAGGTGGAAATATATGTGTCAGAAAGCCATTCTGACTCAATATTATAAGCCCAATAGTGAAGAAATTATTAAGTAGTTGCAGCAATGTGGTTGCTGACAAAGCAGCATATAGATATATATATATATATATATATATGGATGGATGGTGATGGTGTAACATTTTGGACAAATTAAAGGATGCACGCACCACTTCAATTCAATAGAAAAACCTTTTTCTTTTTATCTTAAATAAAGATAGCATATAGTTTCTATGACCTCACAGAAAGTCTGCAGAGAAAGTTGCAGAGTACTGTTGTTGCATTGAAGATTTTTATTTTTAGATTTTTATTTCTATTTTTCATAAATTTGTACTTTCATTTTTTACTTTTATTTTATTTTATTTTATTTTATTGATCTCTAATTTTTCTAATTTCCTTCGCTTTTTTCTTGTTTTTTATATCAAAATTAAAATTAAAATTTCATATTTCATAACAGCATACTACATACAGTACAAATTAATACTTTTTAAGTGATTGCTTTCTTCAGTTTTTGTTCTATAGAATCAAAGTTAGATTTTTTATTATTTTTTTATATGCTTTATATTTTGGGATAGAACTTTTTCTTTTTTTAAAAAAAAAAATTGTGTTTTTATTTTGTATTTTATAATTTTTTTTATATTTTTATTGTTTTATTTACTTCCCTAATTTTTACAACCTGTATATTACTAATTTAAATCTTTATTATTATTTTTTTTTATCTTTTTTATTAATTGTGTATATTTTTGTTATTATTTATTTTTTTATTTTTTATTATTTATTATTTGTTATTTTTTTTTTATTGCAGGTACACAGAAATAAAAAAATAAAAAAGAAGAAATAAAATTCAAATCTGAATTTTTCTCATGTTTTTGTTCTTTAGAATCAAGGATGAATTTCTTTCTTTCTTTTATGTTTTACTTGTAGGGATTAAATCTTTTATTATTATTATTTTATTTTGTTTTTAATTTGTATTGTTATATTTTTTTATTTTCTTTAGTTTACTTGCCTAATTTTAGAACAGTATATTTATAATTTAAATTTCGAAAATGTCTGATCTGTTTATTGATAAAACATACTCCTTCCGTTCCAAAGAATATGGACATTTGAGATTCACATTGGAATTAAGGAATAATACTATTACAAGCTAGTGTAAAAATATGTTTAAAAGACCAAAACACTCCTATTGTGAAAAAATATGATTAAATTTGTAAAAATGTGGAAAACTTAGTTCCCCAAAAATGAAAATGAAACTATTATTTTGTGACGAACGAAAGTGACAAAATGCTACTATTGTTTTTGGACGGAGGGGGTATTTGTTATTTTT